GAGAGAGAGAGAGAGAGAGAGAGAGAGAGAGAGAGAGAGAGAGAGAGAGATGGTTCATTTAATTTCTCATTCCTTCGTTTCTTTTCTCTAGAAGTAATATGTAATAGGGCATACAGAGACGAGTTGGATAACAAGAGACACACACACGCCAAAGCAGAGAGAGTCACTGCTGGTACAGTAACACAACAACAACACACACATACACGCCCCTTCCCACACTGTACACTGAACGAGAAATATACGTATAATGCCAAAAAAGGAAAAATAAAACGAAAGGGGAAAACATACATTGATTTTGAAAACGTGTATACGTATATGTATCCGAAATACACATCGCGATATGCGTGTACAGCAAACGAATTTCGAATATTCGTGATTTCGAGAGACGTGAGAAACGTCTTCGAACGCTTTGTTACATAATAATAATAATAATAATAATAATAATAATAATAATGATAATAATCGTTAACGTCGCGTTACAGCACAAAGTGAATGCATTCTCATTTATACAGCATACACACGCGTATACACAATTGTGATTATTATTATCGTCATTACTTTACCGCGAAAGCCGCGAAATTGGAACGGCAATCTCGATTTAAAACACGATCGTCTCGCGCTGCATTACATCTATCGACTACTGCTGTACTTGTTTTTTTTGCCCATCTCATCTTCCTAAACTAGATTAATAACAAATAACATTGTGAAACAAGAATATCGGGAAAAATAAAGAAATTGAAAAACGAAGAAAGCAGAAAGAGGGAGAAGCACCGCACTTGTCCCCATTTTCCGTCTTCGATGCGTGCGCATTCGTCCTGCGAATACTCGCACTTCCCGAAGAGAATCCTCTTCCACAAATTGGAGCGGAAGCGTTTGCTTTACCCGTTTCATCAAGCATACCATCCGTGCATTGTGTCGTTAACGAGTCGCTTCTGTTTTAGCTGTATAGGATACGCAAGAAACTCTCGGCGTGTGGTGGTTAAACGATGCTTTTATTCCAAGTACAAAAATCTCCGATACATGCGGATTTCACGGAGTCGCCCGACCCTAATCGAACGCTACGTTCCCAACGGAGAACTTTCTTTATGTAACTTTTTATTTGTAATGTTCGTCGTGCGCGCGTACCTCATGAAATAGAGAAGACTTTATCGTTAGATCGCACCGCAAACGAAATTTATACAAATGCACGGAGAAAAGAAATGCTTGAAAATTTGTCCATGAAACAGTTTATTTCTGTGTGAAATACACTTATATTCCACAGATGAACTCTCAAGTATTGTTTTCTCAGTGAGCCCGTCTGGTACGCCACGCGCGAGAAAGAACGTTACCTTACAGCCTATTTACACGTAACACTATATAATATTTACACAAAGAGACTTTTTAATGATAATATCACCGCACTGCGTTTTTCGCTCGTTTATATGGCTATTACACGGTCGTAGAAGATCTGTAAGGTAAAAGTATCGATTTCCGGACACCCACCTATTCCTGGACATTCTTATTATTATTTTGATATTTAAATACGAATATTTAAACTGTTAACATAGAATGTATGAATATACTCAACATTTGTATATATATATATATATATATATATATATATATATATATATATATATATATATATATATATAT